GCTTACTGAGTGCTCTTGGGGTGGGGGTGGGGGCAAAATTGAGCAAAAAACACCCTGTTTTTCACTCATTTCTCCCCTCCCCAGCCCCCAGGAGCACTCTGGAAGCCTCCTAAAGGCTATGCACAGCCATTTTGGTGAAGAGGGCGGGGTTTCGGGAGGCCAAAAAATGCTGTATTCAGTGTATAGGATGTACCCAGATTTTCAGCCTCTTTTTTGAGGGAAAAATACTCTGAAAAATACGGTAGATGCAAATGAGGTGCCAAGCTAACCTGCCACCATGTCAGCCCAGGAAGTATTAATGTGGATCTCCTCCATGATTGGACTTCCAGGTCTCAGACACTTTTGCTTGAGGTTAAGTTGACCTCATTGCTATGTAGGTTTTGCTGCAGGGAGATGGATTCATTTACAGACAGAAAAAAAAGGTTGATTAGTGTACATGTACAGTAAATGCTCTCATTTAAACTTTGAAGGCAAACCTGCTCATTGGAATGAACTTTATGTATCGCAACTAATTTTAGATAATGGCTTTATGGAGATGAAGCGTCTTGCAGGGTTCCTTTTGTCGGCTATTATATGCATATTTGCCTCTCAGATTTTTCAAGTGGAAAGTATTTAAACTTTTTGGAACACAGGGTTGTATTCTTGCCTTGTCCTAATCACGATCTTGATAGTGGACACTGCAGAATGCAGTTTGATGAGCCACCATTTATGAAGTTCGAACACACGAGGCACCTGACTAATTATCATTATTTATTTAAATTTATTGGCTGGCCAATTCCAGTGGACATTGGGCAGTATACAAAACTAGAGAAAACATAAAAAGAGCTAAAAAGAGGCTAGGTCAGTGTCACTGACTTGGTCAACTAGGTAAAGTATTCCCAACTTCTTGACACGTGCGCGGCCGCGCAGCCGCGCAGCTTAGAGGGAACAGTGGTCAGTGATGGCGAAACTTTTCGGCACTGAGTGCTGGAAAGGGAGCACGCATGCGCTTTGCATCTGATCGTCTGGAAAGCGACCCAGAAGAGGAGCTGCCCAATGGGCATGCGCGTGCCAGAAAATGAACTTTTGGTTTCCAGCACATGCTTGCATGCTCGCCAGCTAGTCTTCCGGTTAATGGCATATATGCATGCGCGATGATCAGCTGGCCGGAATGCATGCTCACACCAGAAAATGGAAGATCAGCTCTTCCAGTTTCTGGCACTGCTGTACGCACAAAGGCTGGCTGATCATCATGCACACAGGTGCACCAGAAACCCAGAAGAGGAACAGACGATGCTGCATTTGCCATGCGACATGGCTCTGTGTGCCACTTCAGGTTCGCCCTTTGAGCAGAAGCTGTGAGTCCAGATGTTGGTGCACCATCTTGCATTGGGAGGTACCATCTTATCCAAGACCAAGTACAGTAATATCCCCAATTGGGATGTTCTAGCTACACCCACTCTATCTTGATAGGATTGAGCCAAAGTCTGTTCTACCCCATCCAGACCTGAGCAATCTCCAGGCATTCGATGAGTACATGGACAGCTTCATGAAGCATCCTTCAGTTGTTCAGGAAACCTTAGCATTGAGAGCGACAGTGATCTGAACAATTAAGAGATTACCTTCTCTCACATCCTTGGAAAAAAAATAGGATAAGGACATATCAGCCTTGGCAACAATTGATTATATTAATTGGATTTAGAAAGCCTCATTTGTCTTATTATCTCAGTGTCTACCTTGCTCAAAATTCAATTTAAATGCCAAAAGAAATAAATTATTTTTGTTCCATACTATAATTTCTCAACATGTAATTTGGCACAGATTGTTTTGCATGCACAGTTGGACATCAATAGACAGAAATGAAGTCAGGACAAGCCCAGTTGTCGAGAATCTCCTCTCACTTACTCACCACTGATGCTTTCATTCCTGGAATGGGTTTTTCATAATAGTTGCTGCAATTCTTGCTGGGGAGGTATAATTTTACTTGGACTGAACATTACCTTTTGCTGAACATTATGAAATCCACACTGAAAGTGGGTCTAGGACAACTCACCATGGTCAATTCACCACGGCCAACTCATCGCAGCCAACTTGCTGCAGCCAATTGGCCATGGCCAACTTGCCGCAGGACAAGAGTTACATTAGTATCAAAGAAATAATGGAACGGAATCATGAAAGAAAGGAAGCCAAAGGAGGGGGGAAAATGAAATGTGAATGACAAAAGTTAAAATGATATTTTCATTGTTTTAAATAATTGAATTGAATTGTTGAATTGTCCTGCAGCATGTTGTCCTGTGAAGAATTGGCCATGGCAAGTTGTCCCGTTGTGAGTTGGCTGTGGTGAGTTTTCCCATGCCGCTGATAGCAAAGCCCTCTTTATTTGTAAATCAACTTTTCCTATAGTACTTCCTTTTGTTGTGGCCCGCCAGTGGCCAGAGGAGCTGGCAGCAGATTCGGACAGTGAGGAGGTTGGGGAGGAACATGGGCCAGTCCTGGAATCTGGGGAAGGCTCTGATGAGAGCTATGTTGGAGGCAGAGAGGAGGCCAGAGCTGTATGCCAGTTATCAGTTGCCTTCAGAGTCAGACATCAGTGAGGCAGATGAACAGCTGGAGCCTGTTCCCATTGCGAGCATGCGCGGAGTTGCCAGACGAAGGGAACAGCTAAAGAACGGGGGTCGACTTGGGAGTAAGGCCACAGGTGGACGA